GGGGGGGGGGGGGGGGGGGGGGGGGGGTCGAGGGCAGGTCCCGGTTTGGCTGCTGCGATCCCGCGTCAAGGTTGTCGAAACTTTATTTAGAGATTATTGAAAAAGGGAAAGCGCAGAGTAATCAATTGGAATTAATTTCTTTCTCTCGTGAATGGCTTTTAGAATATATTTTATATGCCTTATTTAAAAAAAAAACATTAAAGAGGGAGGAAAAGCGCTGTAAGTGGCTAAGCAGTACATCGTCATGAAAAACATTATCTTCAGAGGAGCAAGTCCATCTCAGATGGGCGCTCGATCCCGACTAGAGATGTCGATAAGGGCGGAAATGCTAGTTGGGATGCTGCACGTTCTTAGGTTTTACGACTCTTACCGATACCCACAGGGGCACGTGTCGACAGAAACTTCAGAGTAGTTCATGCTGCTGAATCTTCCTTCGATTCGATTCGAAGAAACTTCGCCGGGAAATCGTCGTCCGGCATTCATTAGAAAAATTCATTCGATCATTTTGTTTCTTGCCTGTTTCCGCCTTCTTTTTCGCTCCAGGTCCTCGTCCATAGTAATAATAATTCAGCGTCTTTCCCAGCGGCGGTGGTTGAAGTCTTATCGCAAATCCCCCCAAGATGCGATAAATCTACATTACAAAAAATCGAACAAGTACAGATAAGCAATTTTTTCATCTTCCCTAGGGGCTGCGGTGCTCGTCGAGAAATGAATTACTAGGTTCACCTGTTCACTAGCTTTGAAGTGTTACCTCACGGGTCAAAAGTCCCTAAAAACCTGACAGCTTCCTTACTACACAAATCCGGCAAACTCGATTCTAGATGGGAGAACGGCCTCTGCGATCAGATGAGAGGAAGGGACGTGATATTCGAGACAGGATCAGTTCCAATTTGGGTGGACCATCGATGTGGTCTCGTTTTCGAGCGGTCGAAAAGGCAGGGAGGCTTGTTAAGCGCATGAAAACCGCAATCTGCGAGGGCTTAAACCATAACCTCCAGAGGAAATGGTTATCCGACAAAGCGTGGCGAGACCAGATGGTCTGAGAAAGAGACGCCCATCTTAACCGAGAGCTTTGGTCGAACGATTTGGGATCGTAGCTGTGGCTGGATCGGTTTGGGATGTTGAAGTGAGAAAGTGATTTGCACACAAGAGCTGCACTTAAGGGGTTAAATAACCCTTGTCACTTCGTATAACGACGTTCGGTCTTCTCTACACATAGCTCAATCTAAAATACTTATGTCGCGGCCGTAGGCCGATTTCCTAACCCCATACGCATAGCATGGATAGAAAAAAAAAGGGGGGGGGGGGGGGGGGGGGGAGGGGGTCGGGGAGGAGGTCGGGCAGGAGGTCGTTACGAGTCGTGGATGATGATCCGAGAGAGATGAGCCTTCTTTTCTTCTTCTTCTTCTTCTTTCGTTCGTCTGCTTCTCATCGTGAGTTCCTTGCGCTTTACTTCATTAAATATTCAATTAATTCGTTCCGTGCGTAATTATGTTTTTCTTCCATCAAAATTTAGTTTTCTCGGCTTTTTTTTTTTGGAACGCGGTCGCTTCTTCTCACGAGAACGTTTTGCAGAAGCGATTGGCACGTTGCAAAAATCGGCAAAATTTTGGCAAAAGATACTTTTTGCCATTTTTTCCACATCCGTCGGCACATCCGTCGCCGACCGTCTTAATGCATTCATTACCCGTCCGTTCTAATTAGCATATTTTAGTGGAATCCTCCGCGTTTCCTCGTCTCGACATGCGACGACTCGACCGGTCGACCGGTCGACCTGTCGTCGCGAATCCGTTTTTTTTTTGCGTCGGATTCCCTCCGACCCGGTGCGCAATCTTTGCAAATTTTCTGCAAAAAATCGACAGCTCCGTTCTTACATAACTCCTAACGAAGTCGCGTACGATTTGGAATGCCAATAAAGGCGAGAAAATTTGCACATCGTGCGAATCTACCGTGCGAATGGCAAGCGCGAAAATTGCATCGATATTTTCGTAAAATTCCTCGCCGATTCTGGTGAAAGTGTTTCGCAAAACCAACGCGTCACACTTAAATCACTATGGACTTCTTTCGCGAGAAACCCAAAAAAAAAAGTATGCCAAACACATACAATTTTTTTGCAATATAAAAAAGAAGCAGATTTCGGAATTTTCTTAAAAACATTCGATCTCGACGGAGCCACTACGCTGCTACGTCGCGAAGGGTCGACATGGGTCGACATGGATCGACATAGGTCGACATGGATCGACATAGGTCGACATGTGTTGCACGTCCTTTCACCGCCAATTACCGCTCGGATCGTCATGGCGACGGAATTCATCAGTCAACTGGATGAGGAATGGGCAATGCGATTGGCGCCAAAACCGGAAGCGGCGCGCGGCGGCCGCGGTAATGCGACGCGATTCGCGCGGGACGATCCGTTCTCGCTCCCACTCGCGACCGAACCGAACGGCGTCGTTCCGTGCCGAGGGAACGAGTCTCGGACGAGAATTTAATCTCGTCGATCAATTTTTTTTTTTTTTTGCAACGAGATCCTGGCAAATTCGGGGCAATTTTTCGTCGTAGAACTCCCGCTTTTGGCAATTTCTCTTTAAAATTGAATTTTTTCCAGTTGATTCTCCCGTTACCCATTAAAACACACACACACACACACACACACACACAATGGCCTCTGAGCCCTGTTTGCCAAAGCCGGAGCCGGAGCCGGATCGTGGAAAATTCGCTTTTCGTCGCTCCCCTGTCGCCGATGCAATCATCTCCTTCATTACGCGAACCCGTAATTGCATATCGTCTCCGTGCCCCCTTGCCATGCCTTGCTATGCCTTGCCGTGCCTTGTCATGCCTTGTCATGGGGTCCATGAAATAATCATCAAAACATGGTTCATCGATCGCGCAATTTCGCATCATCTCCGCATCGGCCCGGGTCGATTACTTCGAGTGTGCAATTCCGCCAATTTGGCCAATTGCAATCATGCGAGACCCGAGATGACATGAATGCTGCATGCAATTCCCTGCGATCGCGAGGGACTGCCCTTTTTTTTTTTAGTGTCTGCACGCGAAGAAAATTCGCAGGAATTCTTCTGAGAAGCAGGGGAAAAGTCTAAAATTGGGGGGAAAAGGTCAAAATTGGGGAAATTTTCTAACATTTCGTCGCACTCCCTCGTACCCGAGGAGCGTTCAAAAAGTTTCCAAGAAAGGTTTAAAAAAAAAATTATTACTTTTCTCTTGGGAAGACATTTGTATTTTATTTTGGACCGGCAAAATTTCATCTCATTTCTAAATAACTGGC